AGCACTGCCCAATTATATAGCCTGATTTCTCTGAAGTCATCTCTACCAGTGAAGAGAATCACCATTCACCTCAGCCACAGGGACCACCCCAAGTCTGGGGCTCACCACGAGCACTGGTAGGGCTATTTTGTGTTCCCTGAGGGTGAACTAAGGCAATAAAATGCAAATGACCTTCATGATAAATTGTTATTGTAAATAGAATATGCTCTACACATTATTTCGTAATTACCTTCCCACGTTCCTTCCACTGGCTTCTAAAATGCTTTTCTTCCTTGTGATTGTTTCGGAAAATGTGTGCAGTTCAGCAGGCCCATCCATCTCTGCCAGGGTAAATGGAACCAGGGCAAGATGCACATTTTCTGACCATCGCTCGTTATTTCTTATCCATGTAAAAGTATAATTGTGCAATCATATGATATTATTACTGACATCAGCGGATATGCTGCTCACTGGGGGTTGGCTGGCTTCATTCTTTTAATGCTGAAATTCAGGAAAATTGGAAATTTGCTCCCTTAAATGGAGAGATTGAATGTGCAAATGGATAATGGCCACACCATCTATGAAAAGAACTCTGACTCACAAGCTACAGTAACCAGCCCGGGGAGCCAGCTGCTCCATGTCAGACTCAGGAAGCCAGACCCTACTTCTAGCAACAAGCCAGAAAGTCAAACAATAATCCCTGTAACAACTGGCCCCGAATGGGCAGGACTTGATCAATAACTGGCAACTTGCCCAATTTTAGTCCCAGCTTCCAATGCAGGACCAACCAGAAAGGGCAAATATGGGCCCCTAAGCGATCACATGGGCACCCCTTCCAGGCAGCCTCCAGCATCGTGCCCACTGCCTCCATCCGGGCACTTGTGAAGCTGTCCCTTGTCTCGAAGACGCTTTCCCTCCCGCTCCTCTGCCTGCCTCTCTTCTTTGCCCCCATGCAAGCAATGGCGGTTGAACCCGCCAGAGCAGCTCAGAATATATAGCATTTAAGTCCACAAAAGTTGATCAAAAAAGAGGCCCCCAGATTATCCTGAGGCAACCCGACCCCTGGCACCAGTGGACACAACTCAGAATCCTTCTGGTGGTGTCTGTGGGCCCCGGGACGCCGGGGCTTGGACACGTCCCAGGAACATGGCGAGGCTGGCCCCCTTCCATTTAGGTGTCCCCAGGAGCTCCCAGGGGAGAGGACTTGCTGATTTTCAGGTTAGACGAATATTCTCAGCCCTTGGCTCTTTATTTTTGGCAACTGAGATGACAAGCAGTCTTTTGCAAGAGTTCAGGAGAGACATCAACTTTTGTAAATCACCTGCCCAGCAAGTTGGCGTTCTATTTATGACCACATTTCTGGACATGAACTCCCAGCCCCTGGACAGACCCCAGCAGGGTGCCCGCATCAGCCACTGGCCTCCACCCAGATGAGTGCCCGGATGACCCGACAGGGCTCCTCTTTCCTAAAGTGAGTGAAAGATGGTATCTAGGGCCCCCAATTAAGTGGGAGGCAGAAATCTCAAAGCAGTGATTAGAATAGAAGAGGAGCTAGGTCAGAATGGCCTGGCATCCTCAACCTCAGTGCTTGCAGGAGGCTATATTTGCATGAGTTAGAATTGCAAATCGAGCAAGTGAAATATTTGCATCTTGGTTGGTCTTGATGGGCAAGAGCTCATTTTTGTTTCCAACAGCTCAGCTTCATGAGAAAGTACATTAGGAGAACAGAACAACACAAGTCCCAGCTCAGCTAGCCCTTTAGACTGGGGCGGGGTCTCCTGCTACTTGAGCAGACATAGCGCTGGGCTCTTAGGTGGAGGTAGGGGTAGGTGAAGGTGGGGGTGAGGGGTGGGGAGGGTTGGGAAGAAAGTGCTTCAGGTTTGCTATGAAATCATAGAAGCACCCAACTCTGACGTAGAGGAGGATTTGGAGAGTATCCAGGTCAATTTTCCCAAGCCTATTTATTCCTTGGATCATTGGCTCTACAGGATGTCCCCTTGAAGCAGGATGCTGAGACTAAAGCGTTGGCAACACTGTGCTGTTTTTTTCTCCTTGGTGGGTGGAATGCCCAATCCATAGTGAAGTTTCTGGAACATCTTGAGGTATAGGGGGCCTGTTGTACTCTGATCGGTGTGCATGATTACTAGGGGAGTGCAGGATAGACCTTGGAAAATAATAATTGTGTCTGAGCTCCCCAGTTTTTCACTGAGTGAAATGAAGCCTGGAAGTGAGTGACACAATTTTGGGGACAGCCCAGGAGCTACCTGACCTCACCGCTTCCAGAGAAGTGCTCTTACTGCACCGTTGCTGCTTCTGGGTGATGCCCTGGCAGGCATCAATGCCAACCAGGTAGTCTCCAAGTTTAGGTGGTCTTGTTCAAGAAAGGGAGCAGCTATGAGACACCCAGGCACAGTGAGCGTGTTAAAGAGACGACAACCTTAGAAGATTTTAATAAAATCTAAACTTGTCCCAAGAAAATGCCTGGAACTGATGCCCTGACTCTGCTGACTAGCCCTCACCCCTTACCTGTAACCTTGGCACGTGACATGGAGGTGGCCCAGGGAAGGCCAGTCTATTCCCCAACTCTCCCCCAGACTCCCAGGAGCTCAGCACCTGCCCACAAGTGTGGGAGCTGGACAAGAGGATGTTTAGAGCTCATTCCACCAGAGGAAGCCCAGGAAGCCAGGAGCAGCCCGCAGGAGTTAATAGGACAGGACCATGAGGCCAGCGCTCTGCCTCCTTGGAGCAACTTCCCTTCCTTCTGACCTGGGGCCAGGCCACCATGGGAGCCTGAGGGCAGCTTTTCTTCCATGTGGTGAGAGCCATGCCCAGGGTGGTTATTCCCGTGAGACAGTTCCCTTCAATCAGAGGGGGGCTCCCCTCAGGATTTAAAACAGCAGACCGCAGTGCTAGAGAGAAGCCAGAACCCTCGGGCCTCATGGCGATGGGAAGCTGACCAGCAGGGAGAGGAGTGCGTGCCGGACAGGAGTGTCCAGGACTGAGGGGACAGGCAGTGGGGAGGAAGAAACACCACTCTGGCAAAGTCCAGGTTTTGGGGGCACCAGGCAGGGTAAGACCAGGGCTGCACCCACTACTGAGGGAAGAAGGGCAAGGTTTGCTCCCAGGGTGACATCCGGGGAGGCAGGAAACCCGGAGTTACTTCAGGGAAGAGGAGAAACCACAGGTCGCGTGAAAGAGCTGGAGGCCAAAGTGAGGACCCGGGGGCCTGGGTGCCTGGCCTCAGTGGGGGCAGTGTCAAGACCAGGCACCTGCCCATTTTGGAGAAGAGTAGAGTCACACCGGTTGTCTCCACGCCCTGGCGGGTCAAGGTGGTGGGAACAGCTGGCGTGACTCAGAGAAGGAAAGCTGATAAGCAAGTTCGATCCTCCTACATGACTAGCCCTCATCATCCAGCTACCCCATTTTTTTTTGTGGGGGCAGAGGAGTTGAGGGAGCTTTAGCTATTTGGGCAGTGAAAATTCTGCACAATCGCTGAGCTCAGAAAGGCCTGGAACAGAGCGAGAGCTAAGAGGCCAGCAGGCCAGCTGGACCTTTGGTCCACGGGCCTGAGAGAGGCACCGCCACCTCCCAGGGCAGAGGAAAGGACTTGCTGAGTGCGTGGGCACTGCCCTGCCAGGCAGCTGGAGTTGAAGAGGGGCCTCAGGTTTGTCTGTCCTAAAGACATGCAGGGACCTCTGCTCTGGTTTTAGAGTTTCCCTGCATGCCTCCCTCCCTCAGCAGTGAGGCTTCAAGGGAGAAGCCTGGAAACTGCACCAAGGGCGCTCGTGCCCACTCCAGAGGGCCTGGGAGGCCACTGGAAGCTGCCTCTGCTCCCCAGTGAGGGTGGGACAGGGAGTGGGGGTGAGAGTGAGCCTTTCTCACCTCCAACAGCTTCCAGCAGGAGTCCTGCTCCTCTGCCAGGCTCCTTCTCTGGCTTGAAGCTGTGTGGCGGCAAGGGTCAGGGCCCAGATTCCAGGATTTGCAGAGCAGCAGCTCTGCAGACTGCTCCTGGGGAGGCTGCATTGGGGCGCGGCCTGGGGGCACATCACACCCGCCTCCTGAAAACGCCTCCTGAAACTCGAGACCCTCTCAGAGCCTCTCAGCTGAGGAGCCCTGAGCTCCCCTGCAGGAGAGGTCCCCTCCCCTCCGCCCAAGAAGCCTCCTTTGGAGGGAGATGACTAATTCTAGGTAGCTCATAGCTGGCAAATCATTATGAAACACGGGTCTATTCTTTAATGTGACCCAGAAATCCTGGCTTCTATTTCAGGCTCGTTTTTTGTCTATGGAATCCAGAAATCGTCTCAACATCTCGAGGCTTCAACGTTCTTCTGAAAGGAAAGGCAGGCAGAAGGCACACAGCGGTGCAGGGTGGAGCTGGGCATTCTTGGAAAACTGCAATGCAAGCGCCACGAGCAGCTCATTTCTCTTCGGCAGTGGGTTCTGGGGGTGAGATGTGAGAGCTGATTTGGTTCCCTATTCTTTTAATGTAACCGAGTAAAGAATACTCAACACCCAAATAAAAATAGCATGCATCTTTTTCAACATTAAGTTTGTAGAACCAACGGGATTTGCTCAAGTTTTTGTTTTTGAACCAAGGGCTTTAAAAATAAAGCCCTCTGGAGACAATGACTCACACGGAACAGCCCCGAAGCTGCCTGGGGAGCGGGTGGAGAAAGGGGCCTTCACGTGGGTTCTGGACACTGACCCAGACACAGCCCAGCTCTCAGGTTTTGGGTCTCTTGCTTTTTGGGGGGAAGAGAGAGTGGGTTTATTTCTCACCAGGTCTCTCTGCTACATAGAGCGATGAAGAAAACAAATAGTAACGTGATCTTCACAAATGTTCTCAACGAGAGGCATTCTGATGCAGACACCATTCAGGTCAGCCAGCCTTCGTGACTTGTGCTTTCGGGCACACGCATACAGCCGATGGTTATTCCAAAGCCCAATGCGTGGACGTGTTAGCTGACCGTGGCTTTTGTGTCCGAAAGCCTGAGTGATCACGTCTGTTTCTGTCTACGGAAGCAAGAGGGCAGGTCTATAAACGTGCACGTGACTCGGTGTTTACCGAAGAACCCCTGTGGTCCCCGAGTGCCAGCCTCCTTGCCTCCTGCGGTCAGGGGGAACTCTGGGGCAGCACAGGGGAGGGCATGCACAAGTGTTGAGTTCCGTGAGCACTGAGGGTGGAGTTGCTCAAAACCTGGTTTTAATAAGTTCCCTACATAGTAATGAAGACAGTGTGCGTGGGGTTAGCTACCCTGGTCTGGCAGGTGCTACACAGATGCAGCCTGAATCCGGTTTTAAAAAAAGAAAAAAACAAAGACAAACACAAACTCAAACCAACTCATCAAGAAGACAGCACAGCCTCTGACCTCTCCAAAGAGCAATGTGGTACCGGCCGCAGGTCACCCAAGGGTCACAGGGAGGTGACGCAGGTGGGGGGATGGAGGTAGAGGGAGGTGCCACTTCTTCTCTGGGCACCGCCCGCCTCAATTCTGCACACAAGTAACTTATTTTTTTTTTTTTTGATCTGCAAAATTTTATTAAGCAATAGCTGGACAACTCTTACAACTTCAAATCAAGAAAAAACATGAGATTAATCCATCTCAGTGATAAAGACAGAAAATAACTTGGACAAACCACATCATCATTTTGAATGCAAACCATGAGTGCCTTCTACAACACCTCCCGCACAATCTAATACACAAAATACGTAAGAAGAGAGAGAGGCAAATCAGGGTAAACTCATTAGAATGCAATCAAGAATCTCAACAGATCTTGGCTGGAAAGTAAACAGAGCAGGATGCTGAATTGGAAACCAACAAACCACATGAGAGAGCCGGAGGCACACAAGCGGGCCAGGCCGGTGTGGACGAGAACATGCTGGTGGTGTAGTTTGGTCTGGGGCCTGGGCACCTGCGTCGCGCACTTAGAGCTTAAACGTAAAAAAGGAAAAAAAAAAAAAAAAAGGGAGAAAGGAAACGCCAGTAGTTATAAACTCAGGAATTATGTCCAAATTTACAGTACCAAAATAATGCATTTATAAACAAATGCAGAGACAATGCCCCTTTGGTAAATAGTACAGTGCCTTTTTCAGTCAAACGCATAACCCATGCTTTTCTACAACACGAAAAAGGTTTTATCTACAAGAAACGACGAGATTGTAGACCCCTTCCCTCCCCTTTAAAAGAACTTGTAAACAGAAAATATACAGGTACAAGTAAAGTTACAAGAAAATTGCACAGAGCCAAAGAAATGGAAACAAAATAAGCCTCAACCCTTCAGGGTTCTATCAGCCGTGCGGAGACCACACAGGCACATGGTCTCCAGCTGTGCGCCAAGGAGGGGTGGCCCAACACCCCAACACCATGCCCGACACACCTGTCCCAATTCACTGTGCTCAGGGTTGCTGCCTTAGCCAGGGGACAGACTCCACTGGGGCGTGGGCGCGCCCCCTGCAGACCTGGAGAGCCACACCGTCAGCGCAGCAGGCAGCCGCAGCCCAGGAGGACCCTTCACTCCTTTCCAACCTGCTCTCTGTTCTTTGGGGCAAGGAGTGTCTTAGCTTAGGGCCGTTTCCCAGGGCGCCCGCCGAGCAGGGCACACTCATAGGGAGGGTCCTCCATTGTATCTGGAGTCAGGGCTTTTGTGTGATCTTATGAGCACACATGTGATTCCAAATGCATTTGTTTCTAGAGGGGAACCTTCTAAAGATATTGTTTTAAATGCACTGGTTTATATTTTTCTGCAAATGGCTGTGTTTTGGAACATACCTTCCCAGAATAGTGGTGCCATCCCAGGTGCCCTCCACCTGTTCCAGCTGGATGGGGTTTACAAGGTTGTCCAAGCCCAACTGAGAAGGGCAAATGGAGTCCCTTTTGTGGCAGAGTGTACTTGGGCATGGGGTGGTTGTCTGGCCACCTGCCACGATCCTCAGATGACTTCACCAATTTTACATGACCCCCTGGCGCGCCAGACAAGGGAGCAGTGGCTGTGGGGAGACCCCCGCCTTCGAGTCCTCACACACACTGCCGCAGGTGCCGGCTTTCCTGCATCCCTCGCCCCAGCTCTTCCAGGCCTCTACTCGTGGGCACCTGGTGCAGAGAGGGCTCTGGTTTGATGAGGGCTGAGTTGTAACAAACCTAAAATTGGGCTTTATGGTCACTAACATACCGCTTCCCTCAAACAGGCATGGATTCTCTATACAGCTGCTCATTGGGCTGTTTTTAAATTTAGGGATTCAATGAGGTATCTTAATAGTCATAAATTGCTGTTAGTAACTAGAAAGTATATAAAAGGCTGCCACTTCTAGCACTGAGTAGCAGTAACAGAGGCCAGATGAAAACAGATTTTCAAGTAAAACTGTCATGGGTAACTCAGAAGACCCTGCATCACTCCAGCCACAGACCCTGAGTGGCCTGAGGCCGCTGGGGCCAGGAGAGCAGGGCAGGCAGCTGCTGTTCACCTGGGGTCACTCTCGTGTGCGAAACACCCGAGACAAGAGACTCTCAACATGGGGAAGACGCCTAAGGCAGCGAGCTGAGAGTTTAGGAAGTTTCATTATGTTCTACAGAGACTTCTTCACACTGGCATTCGCCCCTCTACATTCGCTCTTATGAAATTTCTAAAGTGTACCCTTTCATGGCCTTTATATCCCAACACCCAGGTCAGAATGTTGGAACCTGAAACCAACTACCTGGCAGTTCCTTCCTCTGCCACTCTCGTCCTAATCAGTCCCTTCCTCATTTCATGACACCTTTCATTTCCAATTAAAAAATTTTCAAAAGATGTATTATTTTAGGATGTGTTATCTCAAAGGAATCTCCTTTATATACAATCAATACAGCAAAATGCAACAAACAAACAAACAAACAAACAAAAAACCAAACCTTTGAAGGATCAATAGAAATATTTTCCCCATCAGGAAAAGTCATGAATTGTCCAGCATAAAAGCCTTCTATCATATCTTCTTTATTTCTTGCAGCAAAATATACTGCTACCAGTAAGTCGTTACAAACCATACTATTTTTCTAAATAAATAATAAAATGGGCATAACTCACCAATACAGAGTAACAAAATAACTCCTAAAAACACTATTAAAGCAAGATAAATAATTAACTCTTGGGCAATAAAACAGGAATTGCATTTAAATTATTGTTTCAGAAATAGGCTATAACCATTATTGCACAACTAATAATAAGCACGGGAACATCTTATCAGGCTATAGACACTCATATGAAAGAATCCTTTAGTTCCGAAAACATTGCTAAATTCTTTCTGGAAGAACGTGCCCACCAAAATCAGGTCCAGTATTTTAAAATATAAAATGGGAGCCTGGAATCAGCTGGAGACGCCCCTCCCCAGGTTTAAAGCCCTCCCCGCTGTCTCTCCTGGGGCCGGAGGCAGAGCTGAGTGAAGGTGGCGCCTCGCGCTGCGGAAGGAATGGGCCGGGTTCTTTTCTAATTTTTAAACCAAAAAAAGGGAGTAGAAAATTATTTTGAAAATACTTCCCTGTGGTGTCTTCCGCTATTCTCCTTTCCAAAGGAGTCCAAATGGAGGCGCCTGAGCTCAGCTCCCAGGCTCCTGCCTCACACATCCCCGGGAGCAAGTGAGCTGGCGCTCTGGGCCCTCGGCGCCCCGGGACGAGAGGGGAGAAACAGCGTCTCGGTGCATTTTTACCTCTCAGCTGAGAGTAGCCGGCAGACTAGCTCAAGCACTCTACTTTTAACAAATTTTCCTCCTCAGCCTGCACAATTACACAACTTTTTCTCCTAGAGAAGATGGCGGGAGGTTTGCAGAGTTAACTGGGACTCTTTTAATACCCTGGCAAATGCTTACATTTTTTGGGTTACACTTCTAACCTACTGGGAAACACTTCCAGTCGATACCCTCAGCACTTTGGGAGACAAAATGTCGGTGTTTCCTCACGGGAAAGACGTTTTCCGGAGGAAACAGCATGGGGGAGGGGAACAGAGGTGGCTGCTAGGCCAGTGGACATCTAGGGGCTTGGTGCTGCTCCCCCAGCACTGGAGCTGGGCCCCTGCCCCGCCTCCTCCCGAGTGGTCACACCCAGTGGGCACTAACGGCCTCAGGGTGAGTGTCTTCACAGAGGGGCTCCCACCGGCCTGGGCTCCTCCTGCCCCGCCCCACCCCCATGCCCTCTCCCACGCCCTCAGGAGCAAGCCACTCTCACCTGCCCTAGCACCTGTGACTTGTACCAGCCCAGCAGTGGTCTCCCCAGATGCCCTTCATTCCGCAAGTCACCTTGTGGGGAGCGACATCGTGTGTGTGAATTAAATCTCGTTCCCCCCAGGAGAGCCTGGATCTTCCGGATTTTTGGTTGTTTTTCGAAAAGGGTTTTGTTTTCACGCCCGTGGCGAGGATGTGGAGGTGAAAAGCACCGGCCACGCGCAGCCCCTTCCTTCCCAGGCCCAGCAGCTGCAGCCCAGCTGCCCTCCCACCCAGCCCGGGCACCTCGCACCTCTGTTCGCAAACAACCCTCTCCTGCACTGTGTTTTTGTTTGAAAAGAAAGAAGACAATAAAGGATAATAAAAAACCCAACAAACAACAGCGAATAAAGGTCGGTGCCCTCTCCCGGGCGGAGCCTCTTCCAGTATCGCCCTGTCTTCCAGCCCAGGACCGGGGCCGCCGCTCGGCCTCCATGCGGTCTGGTCACTTGAGGCGCTGCGTCACGTTGGCCAGGGCCACGGCGAAGGCCTGCACGGCTGAGAAGGGGTACTGGAAGTCCAGAATGTACGCGTTGCCGTCGATCCTTCCAAACTGCATCACCTAGGGGTGTGGGAGGGGGTGAAGCAAAGACATGAAAGGTACTAGGCGGAAGCCGGCCCCACAGAGCAGCAGCGCTGGCTGAGATGTCTGCCACCCAGAGTGACTCTGAACAAGCTTCTCAGCTGACTACAAGTTTGTCGGAAATAAAGGGTCAGAGGAGCACGCTGGACAATACAGTGGGGAGACGAGGTCTCAGCGTGCAAAGTTCCGGGTCCAACGAAGTGGGCCTCCCCCAGGGCTCCACCCCCAGCCCGCCCTGTCATCTCACACTTTCCATGGCCCCAGCCTATGGCACTGTCAGGTGACACGCGCCTATAGCCGTCTACCAGCTTCTGCAGATCCCTAGGACAAGGACTGTCTGCTTCCCTCACTGCTCTAGCGTCAGCACTGAGAGTAGGGGTGGCCCAGCTCTCGTTAAGAGCTGATGGTGAGAATTTCAGGCTTTTAGGGGACGCACTTGCGGGCACAACTACTTAACTCTGCTGCTGAAGGGCAGAGCGGCCGTGGCAATGCCGCAGTGCACAGGTATGGCTGAGGCCATAAAAAGCAGCAGCAGCCAGAATGGTCTGGGGGCCACCATCTGCCGCCTCCTGGCTCAGAGGATGGCCAGGTATACTGGCCAGATGCTCAGGGAGTGTATGTTGAGCCAATTAATGAAAATGCAACTTGAGGTCTGTGAGGCAAAGGGAAGGCCAGGGCCGTGGAGAAAGGCAGTCCAGCACACTGGCCATGCAGAGGGCCCCACCACCCTTCAAGGCTGGGGCAGAACTGCCACATTGCCCAAGTGTGTCTGTACCGGGAGGAGAGTCGCATGCTGCCAGAGAATGGGGTATGATTTAATAAACAGAGAAATGAGCAAATTAGTTAAAAAAAAAAAAAAGCAATTATTTAGTCTAGGGGAGAAAATCTAGACAAGAATTGTGCAGAAGAACAAGCACTGCTGGTTAACCACGCCACGCAGCTCCGCATCACACTGACTGGCACGAGAAGGTACATGATGGCTGCTGACTTAACTGGGAATGGGGCTCATGTTCCTTGGGAAGATGCCAAGGAATAGAAGCATGTTCTTTCCAACAGGGCAGCAGGTGCCAGGAGCAAGCAAGCAGAGCTGGGAGCAGTGCCGCGGTGGGCAGGTGCTGGGAGCGGGCAGGGGCCTGCTAGTTTTCCTCTTGGGAGTCCCAGCCCAAGTGGCCTTTAAAGACCAGTGGCTGCAGGGCTGTGATTAGAAACGCCAAGGAGAGCAAGCTGCGCTGTCTCCAAGGGCCCCAGCGGGCTCCCGCAAGGCCAGAGCACCGCAGCCTTGGCCCGGCTGTTAAGCTGCCCCAGACCCTCACGGGGCAGCAGGGACCAGGCAGCAGCCACGGGTCCTGCCAGGCTGGGGACATGGACGGCTGGCGTCCGGAGCACCCCCTGCTTTCTTACCTGCCGCCCTTCCAGCTCGATCTGGAAGTTCTTTGCCGACTCCTGGGTCACCCGCCCCCCAAAGTCCAGCTGGTACACCTGGGTGGCCTCGTTCCACAGGGGCTGCTTGTTGGCCATGACGTACACGAAGCCCTGGCTGCCCAGCCGCCCGTCCTCCTTCTCGTTGGCCTTCCGGCACTTGAACTCCTCCAGCTCGCTGGCCGTCCGGGGGTTCCTCTTGCTCTTCCAGCCCTTCTTGCTGCCCTGGCTCTGGTTCATCAGCTCGTCCCCGCTGATGAAGAGCTCCGGCTCGCTCTCCGAGCTGTCCTGGAACTCGTTGGTCTTATTCAACTTCTTTGACTTGAGCTGGTCCTTCTGGCTCTTGGCTTTCTTCTTCTCTCTCCCCAGGCGGGGGCTGGAGATCAGGGAGTTAAAGTCACTCAAAGTCCGAGCCTCCTTCTTCATTTTGCCCTCAGTGATGGCCTGGACGTTCCCTTCCTCCGCCCGGCTGTCCAGGCGCTTGCGGTTCTTCTTCCCGAACTTCTCCGAGCGCTGGGGGACCGGGCTTTCCGTGAGGGAGAGGACCTCCTGGAAGTTGTCGGCCGCCTCCACCATCACCTCGGTACCCAGGTGGCCCTGGAGGTCTGCCGGCGGCGGGGACACCAGGGGCTTCTCCACCACCAAGTGTGCCTTGGGGGGGAGTGTGCCCTGGGGGTTCTGCATGGGCGGGCACGCGCCATAGGAACTCCAGGGGTGCAAGGCGATGGGTGGCAGCTGTAAACTAGAGCACGTGCTGCTTCCTGGATACATGGGGGGCAGGGTGCAGTAGGAGAGGCTGGGCGGGTAGGCGGGCTGGAGGACCAGGGCGGGCTCCTGCTGTGCAAACGGCGTGGGAGACAGGGCGTCTTTGGGGGAGCAAGGGGCCTGCACCCCGGGTACAGGGGGCGCGGCATAGCTTCCTGGGTAAGGCCCTGCCATCCCATAGCCGGGCTGGAAAGTGGCAGTGGGGCTGGCGGGAGACTTGGGGGAGACGAAGGGCCCGCGGGCCACGTCCAGGTGCTGGCCCGGGCCCACGCCCAGCGGGGGCAGCTTCAGGGGCTGGGGCCCCCCGGCCGGCGCTGTCCTGTCCTGAGGGACCCAGATGTCCTCCCCCAGCCCGGGGTCCCACTGGTACGGGGGCGGCCGCTTCAGGGTCCCCGCCGCCTCGGGCAGCGCGGGGTGGCGCAGGGGCTTGTCGGCGGGGCCGAGCGGGGCCAGCGCCTCGTCCTCCGTGAAGGCCGAGTTCACGTAGTCGGCGCGGTCGCGGTCGCGGGCGCCGTCCAGGCCGTAGGGGCTCGCGGGGGGCAGCGCGGCGGCGCCCCCGCCGGGCTCGGGCCTGCCGGCGCCCGCGCTGCACTGGCTGCAGGTGTAGAGGCCGGGCGCGGCGCGCGGCGCGGGGAAGGGCGCGGGGCCCTTGGGCTTGGGCGGCGGCGGGTGCGGGGGCGGCGGCGGGGCGCGCGGGGGCTCCAGCAGCTGCGCCGCCCGCAGGGCCGCCTCGCGGTTGTTCCTGCGCAGCGTGGCGTGGATCAGGCCGTCCGGCCGCGGCGCCGCGCGGCTCGCCAGGTCGGGGTACGGGGGCGGGTCCCCCGGCGGGAGGGCGTAGCGCGGCGCGCTCAGGCGGGTCAGGGTGGCGCTGGCGCCGGGCGCGGGCCCCTTCCTGTCGGCGGGCGCGAGGCGCAGCGCGGCGCCGGGCGCGGGCAGCGTGTAGGGGCTCTGGGCGCAGAGCGCGCGCGTGCGCGGCCGGCACACCTCCTCCACGTTGCCGCTGCTGTCGAAGGTGGTGATGCGCTCGTAGCCGGGCGGCGGCTGGTAGTGCGCGGGGTGCGGCGCGAAGTCGCCCCTCTTGGCGCAGGCGTCCAGCGGGGGCGGCGCCGGCAGCGGCGGCGGGGGGGCCGCCGTGGTGGGCGCGGCGGGGATGGTTCCCGGGTACGGCGGCGGGGGGTTCATCTTCGCCGCCGGGACCTCCGCGGGGGCGCCGAAGCCCACCGCGTCCCCCTCGGCGGGCAGCGGCGGCGGCCCGGGGCGCAGGGCCTTGGCCGCCTTCTGCAGCGGCTCGTGCTCGCGGTCCCCGGGGTCCCCCGCCGGCAGCTGCGCGGCCCCCGGGGCGGGGGGCGGCAGGGCCAGGGGCGCCGGGGCGGGGACGACGCGGCCCAGCTCCACGCCGCCGAAGATCACCTGCCCCGGGCTGGCGTAGCGGCTGGAGACCGGGAACGCGGCGGCGCCGTCCCCCGCCAGCTCGGCGGCGCCCGCGGCCGTGGTCTGGTTGGTCAGGACGTCCAGCTGCACGTTCTGGTTGGCCAGCAGGGACTGCACCAGCCCGATGCTCTGCGTGGGGGACATCGCCTGGGCCGAGCTGTGGATGGGGGCGATGGGGATGTTCACCGTACAGGGGGGGTTGCTCTCAGGGACGCCCGACGCGCCGGTCACTGGAAGGAAACGAGAAACACCTGCTTACAAGGAGCGGCAGCACGCGGACGGGGCGCGCCCACTCCGGACCCTTTCCAGAGCAAGATGCAACGGCTACGGAGGAGAGGTGTTTGCTGGGGGAAGGCTGAGCTGTTCGGTTTATACAGTTTCTCCGTTTAGGAAGGGCCCCTGGCTGGATCTGAGGGCGGCCTGGCATGTCCTTGGCGAAGGGCAAGGTCAGCCTTCCCGTGAACACTTTCCAGCGAACACTGAGGATGTGTGGCAGCGCGGCCGCCGGGTACAGCGCAGCTACTCCATTAAATGTCTGAAGATGCCTTTTACACGAAGCCATCGAGTCTTCCTGCAAGACTCGGCAGGTCTGCCCTCCTCGGGGACTGGCGGGGGCCTAGCGAGGGGGTGTCACGCAGCACACGGATATCTGGAATTTTACTTAAGTTTCTGTGAATAGATCCATGTGGGATGCAGTAGAGAAACCAATGAAAGGATTCCCCTAGCAAATCTCACTCCTGCTTTCGCCTGTGTATTAGGTGAGGTCGACCCTCACCAAGGACACCCCGGGAGCCCAGCCTGCAGACGCGCTGCAGGTCACCGCAAAGCTCGACCCCAGCTCTCTGCTCCGGCAGGTGCCGCTCAGCTCCTGTCCGTCTTCGCATGTGTGGCCCCCGCAAAGCCTGGCTGACCTGCCGGCACTACACCAGGGGCCAGCTAGCTTATCCAGGCAAAGCCCCGTGTCTGGCCGGCTCTTGCCACTTCCCTGGGTCCCCTAGTGAGACCCACCTCGGGGCTGCAGGGACGTGGGTTTTCTGTCTCAGGTTTTCTGTCCTCCCGCTTTTCTCTCCCTTGTGTGTGCTACTGACAGGGGGTGCCCTCCCCACGGGAGGGAAGAGTCCCCCTGTTGAGTCCCCAGAACCCCAAGACAAAACGTTCCCTCCTCTCACCATCTCACCAGGAACCCCAGACAGGAGCCCCAGCAGCAGTTGAGCTTAGCGAGAGCTTCATTAATCACATTCTGGGAGAACTGGGAGGGCATGAAGGGGAGTGGAGAAGGTACTTGTAACTGGCTGGGAGGTTCTGAACCGGGGGGGGGGGGTGGGGTGTGCTATAAAGTTCAAACGTGTGAGGCTTCACCAAACTGCACGTTTCTATGCACGTTAGCGTATTAGGGCCGCCTCAGGCCTGGAATGTCCACTCCTGCAAGGAGGCACAGCACCCGAGAATCGCCAGGCCCCTATCCAAAGTGCAGTGCCACAGGTGAAAAACTGGACTGAGAGAAGGTAAACAAGTCCTCCAAGTTCAGAGCTCAAGTTGGGGTGCATGCCCCTCCCTGCCCCATCATAGGGTTTTCCTGGCTAAGAAACCGCGTGCTTTGAGATCCTTGCTTGTGATGAGAGGAGTCTCTAAAATTGTAGGGACTCAAAACACTTCTGAGAACAATTATATGCAAATAATTGGCAGATTAATTAGAAATCATTGTAATCTATTAATCAAAATAGGCCACCCCCCACCCCCCACCCCCACCATGAAACACTTAAGATACTACAGATATTCTAAGACTGTAAACTGGGATTTTCAAAACATGTGTCAGGACTAAACCTTCACCGCAGACTCGGCTGCTGTGCCCTGTGTGCGCACCGGGAGAGGTATTTAAATGTAAAGGTTTTATGTCCTGCACAGGGAGGAAGCTTGAGACTGGGCTCTTGGGCACCCAGGGTCACGGGAGTGACGCCCTTTCCAAGCAGGACTGAAAGGATGAGAGCTGACCCAGGGTTTTGGAGACTGGGTCTGGGTTCAGATTTTACTGAGACCTGCTTAGTCCTGTTAATCTCTCTGTCCAGGCACAGGCCCGAGGATTATGTAAACAGGCGGCACTGTGTCCTTCATTGTCCTTGCTCCCCTCCCTCCACTCCAGACCAGTGACAGCAGGTGACGTTCTCCTGGGACATGCCACCACACCCACCCACCTTCCCGGGGACCTTAGCATTTCCCCGTCAGGGCAGCAGGCCGGGGTGACTACCAGAGCTCCCAACGCGACCCACTCGCCACAGGCAGGTATGGACACACCTGGCAAATCGTCTTCATCCTCACTGAAAACATTGGGGTTGAAGACAGGTAAGTTAATGCAGTCCATGGAAACCTTCCGAACCTCTGGGAGGTAGACGGTCATCTGCCGCGGCTGGAGATGCAGGAGGCTGGTTTTATAGATTACTGTGGGGAGGAGAGCTGGGTTAGTGGAGAGGCCAGAGAAGAGCCGCGGTGCCCAGAGTCTCGGGAGGAGGGGCAGAGCTGCCCTGCTCACGGTCTGGGTTCAAGCTCTCATTGGAGTCCAGCGCTCATCTATAGAACCGCATACACTTTCAGCGTGAAACACCTACCTTACACCTTAGACTCTTCTGGAACAAGTGGGGGCATGATAAACACACTTTTTTTAGCCCCTCATTTGCAATCAGATCATTTTAGTGAAAACAGCTGTGATGACCACAGTGCCATGGGCAGCTGTGATGACCCTGGGAATCCGAGCTGTCTGGACCAGGCGGGAGTGAATGCAGTTTGTACTCAGGACTGGATTCTTCTCTTGCTGACCTTCCACTTCAGTGTCATGATCAGGCTAGACACATACAGGGAACTTCCGCATGATCTCTGAACACTAAGATTTAACTGCATTAATAGGGACGCTAAAGAGAAGGTCTGGAGTGTGACTAGAACACTCAGGGGAGGGAACACATGGAGAAATCATGAATTTAAGATCCACAGTGGGTTAAAATCAGGATGAACGGGCCTCATTTTCGGTTCCGTTTAGTGTTCTCTCCTCTGAAGTGCTGAGGAGCTGTGACGGTGGTGCTGGTGTTCTGGAGCCAGGCCCCGGGCCACACGCAGTAGCCCCTGTAGCCGCTGGGTGAGGGCACAGCAGGCACCGTGGAAGCCTCCCCCGGGGCTGCACTCACACTGGCGCTGGGCTGACCAGGCTCGGTCGTTTCGGGCTTACTCACAAGTTCACATTTCATGTCCGAGAAGGAGAATATGACTTTTGGCTTAAAAACTCTGGATGGTTTCATGTAGCTCAAGAATTAATGCTTTAATTAAAATGCTATTCTTTGTCATTCAGATCGACAGAGAAATAAAGTTTAAAAATCTCAGGAGGGCTTAAAATAATATCAGTTGCCTCTAGGGGGAAAGAAAAATAGGTGATGGGTAGAGTAAATTCAATCAATTTATTCCATGTCTTTAAAATCAAGAAATGCAAAATAAATATCAAACACAAAACATTCACGGGTCAGATCATTCTAACTGAAGGAAACAAATCACCCACTGTGGGAACAGTGTCCCTCTTAAATCTACAGTGTCAGTGAATGCTCGTCAGGGCGCCATATGTAACATACCTTCCAGAACCCCAGAGTTAATGTCTTTTCTCTAGTAGGAGCAAGGGGAAAAGTCTCCCAGCTTGACAAAGAATGGTAAGAGCAGAAACACTCTTTGAAAAGGTCAAGGACTCAGACCCTGGAGGGGCCAGATTTCCGCAAAAAGCGTGTCCCTGGGTGCTCCACTGGGCAGCCCGTGCCCCCCAGGCACTCCCATCTCTTAAGGTCCTGGTGGATTTATTGGTGGGTCTAGTCAACATTCAAGAAATAAGGGCAGAATGAAAAGCTGCATTAAGTAAATGCTCACTGCAACACCTTCCCCAGCGCTCACCACGCAGATACCCCCGCAGAGCTGGGGCTTTACTGCAAGCACCGCAGACATCGGGCTTTACTGCACTACTGGGCATAAGAGGGATTCCAAGTCATGGAAAATATTTTGAGAGTTCTTTCTGGGTAGGGATTGTCGCTTTTTATGTTAAACTTTAATTCCTCTTTTTCTTGGACCTGAGAAAGCTCAACATGAAAAAACCAAATGCAGCACGTTTACCAAGTCTCTGCAGATGCGGCCACAGCAACAGGTCTTTCTTAATACCTGCTTTGCAAGATTTATCTCAAAGGATATGTGTCTGAAACAACAGGCCGATTTAGAATTTTTTCAAAAACCATTTTTAGTAGGTCACACAGAGTACATTCAAGATGGTGCCACCAGCCACAGATGAGCCCTGCCTGGCTAAGCTGTGGGCAATGTTAAATGACCCAGCAGCCCAGCAGGGGGTCCAGCACCCACCCCTGTCCCTGAGAAGAGATGGCAAGTGAGAACTATGCTTTTGGGGGGTTGGGGGTGTCAACCAGTGGAAAGGCAATTCTCAGTTCCCGACCAGCTTGTACTCCCAGTTCCAGATTCTTCCATATCCCTGGCTTCTCATGGGCAGGACATCCATCTGGTACAAGAAATGAACTCTCTACTGATTTATGTCTAAGAACTGTACTAACAGCCAGCCAACTTGTTAGTCTGTAGCATCTTTTTCTTGACTTTCTTCGGGAGTTTCTTTGACTCAAGAACCTAAAGGTGCTGGTACCAAAACCTGCCCACAGTAAAAAGTCCAGAAATCAAAAATAACCAGAAGCCTATGAGAGCTTTTATAAGATATAAGCCAGAGTTTACATTAAAATAATGAAAGCGTCGTTGGCAAAAAATCAATTTGTGTGACAATGCAATTTTTGGTGAACTCTAAGTAGCTAAGAGTCAGAGTGGACCCTTTGTTATATTCAGGCTAATCTTCTGAGCTCACATTCCGCTTTAAGCCACCAGAAACTGAAAGCGTTGGACTTGAGCCCCCACAGGGAGAGCAAGCAGAGAGGAGGATGTGTTTTTACCTGCACCAAGGTTGGTTGGCAGGAAAGCAGCCAAGCCCACAATCTTAAATTTGGTTCCCCAGATATTAGACGTGACCTGAGCAAGATAGTTGTGCTGTGGAGAGAAAAGAAACAGGAAGAAAAATCACAATCTATTTCTATATTTTCTAGCAATCACTGAAGAAAAATGTTAATGCTTTAATGCTTTTTGCTTTGAAAGTCACAGGTGGGCATGACCATAATTACTCATTCTCTAGATCATTCTGCCAGTTTTACCACTAGAAGTGAACTACAGTATGTCAGGCGCCCGTTTTTAAAAGGGGCTCACCTGTCACGCCTCTCAAGGTGGGAACGAGGGGCTGTGTCCCAGCGCCCACAGGTGTGCCAGGCAGAGCACCACAAGTGACTGGGGGACACTATCTTCATCTCGCCCTCTCCCTGTCAGTGGGGAGAGAGAGCGCCTAGTTCTGAACCCATTCTTATCCCTGGCATTTCTCCTGAAAATGTCACCTGCATTGGTAGCATTATATCCAGAAATAGCCCAATCGTCTAGTTCTTTGCTCATCAATAAATTTTCAGAAACTTAAAAAAAAAGTTGGCACTGTGCCCAGGCCACGCAGGCACGCATGTGCCAGGGCAGTGATAACACAAATAAAATACAGCCCCTCGAAGAGCCTACAACCTGATGGAGAAGAGGCATAGCATCATTTGCGTACAAGGATCCTGGGGAAACCTCATGAGGGAGTGTAATGCGGTGCTTCGGGATTATGGCAGCTGAGCAAGGGAGGGAAGCTCCCGGATGGAGGTGAAGTCAGGCCTGGAGGTATGCAGGCAGAGACAGGGGCAAGGAGATGGAGCAAATGACCCCGGTGACCCCAGCACGGTAGAGCAGGAGAGGCCAGTACATAGTGAGGATGCGGGGTGGCCCCTTGGGGGTGTGAGGCACCAAGGGTGCCAATAGAAAAAAGACTGGCAGGGCCAGACTATGGCCACCATCAGCCCAGCAGGGGCACAGGTGAGAAGGGTGGCATGTCCCAGCCCCAGCTGCCTGTGGGGCAATTCGGGTGGTGCAAGGGGATTGCCTAAGATGGGAGGCGATCCCGCCGGATGTGGATGATATGGACTGGGGGTGAGGGCAGAGAGGAGGGTGATTGCCACCACGTGGGGAGCAGCAGGGACCGGCAGCATATGGGCGCGGAGTAGGCAGAGGGGACAGCTACCAGCAAGCACCCAGCCAGGAGGGGACAGCCATTACCTGAGTGATGTCTTCAAAGGGAAACTCTCTCCGCGTCAGGCTGGGCGAGCCGACTGACGGCTTACGCATGGGCAGCCGAGGAGACCGGGACATCTCCTGGGCGGCCCGGGACAACTTGGGGGACTTGCGAGCCTCGATGTTGATCCTGCGAGACAAGGCCCTAAGTCAGGCCCCTCACTGCAGGAGGGTGCAGGCCACCCCTGGCCCAGGGGCCAGATCCCAGACCCGTCCCACACTTCAGTGTGTAGGCACATGGAGGTCACTGCCTGGCGGTCAGGTCCCAGAGCCTGCTTTGGTTTTATGAACACGCAGGAAGGAGGACAGATTGGATACTGAATAATGTACAGTTAGAAATACTAATTTCTAATCAGCATCAGCACTGAGAGTAGATCAGCTACTCATTTATGAAGGGCCTTGGCAGAGAGTAACTACACCAGCAACTCCCCGTGGGCTTCCAGGGGGCTCTGCTGCCCGCACAGCACAGACACAGCTTCAAAGTCACAAACAAGGGAGCACACCCTCAAGACGGGGTTACCTTGGGAGCTTGGGTGACTTGCTGGCTCGGGAGATCTTGGGGGACTTCTTGGCAGCCCAGTCGTCACTCAGCTCAATGTCGCTGGAGTCGGAGCAGTCGCAGCTGTCAATCACAGCAGAGACCAAGCTGTTCCCGTAGATCTCATCTGCCGGGACACCAACCAGCACACTCAGGGGACACGAGATGACGGGACCCATGTCACCACCGCGGCGAGTGGACAACAGCGCTGCAGCCATGGCTGGGTGTCTGCAGCTGGGCGGGAGCACGGCCCTGCCTGTCCTTCTACACTGTCACACCGTGACACTTCCTAAGCAAAGCGGGCAGTTATATCCCTTATCTAAGGGGGATGGTGCCCGAGCGCCTCTGGGAAGGGACACAGGGTCCACCAGGCTTCCTGCCAACATGGCCTTGAGGGTACACACCGCGCTCCATCCCCTTTGGGCCAGGGGATTTGCTCATCAATAAATTTTCAGAAAAAAGCCTGGGGACCTGGGCTCACCCACTTGCTCACACCCTGACCTGGCAATGGGAAGCCCTTGCTTTTCACTCTGCCCTGCTGATGGGAGCCTTACTCCCTCGAGGCGTAAGAGCCTTGCCAGGTAATCAGAAAGCGCATCATTCAATCACAGTGAAATAATGTAGGGAATGTGAGTGATTTCACCGCTCCACAGGGGTGTTTACATTTTAAAGGATGAGTCTGTTAATCCAAACTAATCTCTAAGCTTCCAAACAGAAAGTGGGCCATGCCCTGAGGCTAGAGAAGGCAGGACAACCTGGCAGCTCCCTGCTGGCACCCCAACTGGGTCACCCACCTCAGCCCCTTCTTACAATGCTCACTGAAGCAGAAGGCACAACTCAGGGTCCAGCCAGCCGGGGTGGTGCGCCTTTGAGTTTGACCAAACGAAGGGGCACATGAGCCCACACGCCATGGGCAGGGTTTTATATTATTTAGCTCAGACATACCCGGGCCAAGGAAGGCAGGCCAGGACCCAAACCCACGGGTACGCCCATAGAACACTCCAGCGTGTTCACAGCACTAACTCTGTGGCATGATAAGAGGTGCCAATTATCACAGCAACGACAGGCTTTACGTGCATCTACGTGTGATGGCAGCATGTCTCCACCTTAAGTTTACACAGTGGCGCATGTCAAACACATACGCTGATGTGGGTGTCAGAAGCGGGGATTCTCTCTGAGAGCGGGAGGCGTCACTGTGCCATCCAGCAGCCCTCCCTGACCCCAATCCTGCCCCGGCCCTTCCACTCACACTGGCCCCCGCGCCTCATTACGTGACAGCCCAGGCAGAGGCCGATTCTCTTCAAAACATGCTCTCTCTCTTTTTGCAATATGAACAAGCTAAGAATTTTCCAAATCGTCAAGCTCTGGTTCCTTCTTGCTTAACAGTTCCTGTTGCTGTAGCCCACCCCTCTCCCCTCTGATTTCACTCTAAGCAGCCAGAAGTAACCAAGTTGCTCCTTTAAAACTGCTTAGAAATCTCCTCAGCTAAATATTCAGTTTCACTGCCTGCACATCTTACCTTCCACGCAATAGTGGAACACAGTTCAGCCAAGTTCCTTGTCGTTTCCTAAGTTAGGACTGTTTTCCTCTCATTTCTACTGACCTGGTCTTCATCTCCATCTGAAACCTCACCAAGATTGCCCGAACATCCTTATGTCTAGCGTGTGCCTCACAATCCTTCCAGCCTCTCACCCATTACCCTGCTCCAAAGTCACTTCCACATTTTCCATATTTCTTAGAGCGGCACCCCACTTCTCAGGACCAACTGTGGATTAGCGAGGGTTCCTCAGAGAACAGTGAAGAGGATGGCTGGCGATGACTTATGTGTCTGTGCAGCTATTTAATCTCTCTCTAGATGGGAAAGGCGAAGAGAGACTGAGATTGATCATGGAGGCTGAAGTCGCCCCCCCTGGGTGACAGTCTCATTAGGTTCTCGGCACCTTCTTGCTCTGCCCACGTGGCCTTTTTCAGGGTGTGCTTGTGGTCAGCGCACTCTTCCTCTTCAGAGGTGGTCACCCTGCTACTGAATTAGGGCACCCCCTTTGTGACCCCATTTAACCTTTATTACCCCTGAAACACAGTCACACGAGGCATTGGGGCATCAGTGCAAGTTGCGGGGGCACCACTCTGTCCACAGCTCTGACCGCAAGTTGCTTCTGAGAGGCTGTGGGTTTCAGAGCATTGCTAGGACCGCTGCTCTGCATGAACACACTCACCTGTAAGCTTCCCCGCCGGGGTTACCTAGAGCATGTTCACGGCAGCAGCTCGCCAGCTGCGTGCCTGACCATCACCCAGCCACATTCAAGCTGCAGGTTCCCAGGCCTCACCCCAGGCCAGCAGGATCAACCGAGGGGGCAGGCCTACGAATCTGCACTTAAATACCCCAGGTGCTCGGCGCAGAGGGTGCACGGACCAGAGCCCAAGAGGCAGTGATGGGGGGGCCCAGCGTGACCAGAGTCTCTCATGAAGCGGCCACTTCCTCAAAGGCAGGAGTCTTTTCCTCCCCCGAACCGGTCATAGCCGGTGCCTCGATCCACAATTAGGTGTGTTCTGCCTGATGACACACCTCCTATTTTTGTCAAGGAATTTAAATCTTGGCTTTTTAACTGAACTTCCAGGAGATCACAAACTCCCCGGAAGCAGAGCCCCTGCACTGTTTCACGCGGGCTGTGGGGGCCCTCGGCACCTGTCCTTGATTTGTGTTGCCTCACTACGTCTTCATTCTTCTAATTTCAAGAATGAAACACCTCATTCCCCCTGTAGGGTAAAGAAAATATCAGGCTTTTCTGCCCTCCCGCCATCAGGATAGATGATGGATCCTTGTCCTGAATGCATGCCTGATGGCGGGCACCTGGAATAGGGTGTGGGCATAGGTAGATGGGATTCAGCTGAGCTAAGACTGTGCTTTTAAGGGCGGCGTCACGGGGGGCGCCAGCAGCAGCAGCAGCAGCAGCAGTAGAAGCCGAAGCAGAAGCCGAAAGAGAAGCTGAGAAGCAGCAGAACGAAAGCTAGAGAGCCCAGATAGAGTGAAGACTTCCCAGCCCCCCAGCACCCCTGCCTGCCATATGCCTGGTGAACCCCAAATAAAAAACCTGCAAAACTACTGAGGACTCTGACTCCTCCTTTACCCGGTCTGCATGGGATCAGAAAACCTGCACTGTGTCCAGTCCGGCCTTTACACCCCCAAATAAACTCCCAATTCCCCACATCATCAACAAGTGAGTCAGCCTGGGTCGGGGAGAGCCAATGGCTGAGCACTGAAGAGAGGTCGGTGCTGGAGGCCAGGCGGTAGGTGACTGGCTCCCCTTCCCCCCTTCCCACTGCAGGGACAGAGCAAGCACAGCCTCTCAAGTGCAAGCCAAGCACAGGGGTCAGGAAGCCGCACACGTGGGAGCAGCTCCAGCGACAGCAGCTCCTGATAAGAACTGAGACGTTAGGCCTGGCCCGGCCCCTGCCTGCCCAGCCACCTCTAACCATCAGGGCTAGTTCCCCTCCAGGGAGCCTGGAACCTCTCTTTGTCCTGGGGAACAGCCTGTTACACCTTCCTCGACCACCTTCCTCCCAAACGAGATGCACGGTATGTTCAGAGGACCAAGAGCCTCAGTGGAGTTTGGAGGATGGCCCTCCTCAGCCACTCTGCTCACTTTTCCCAAACAGCCAGAACCTCTGGGGGGTTGTGTGGAGGAGCACCCCACAACCGCACCTGAGAAGCAGGCACTCCGTCCCCGAGGGACCCACCTGATTTGCTATCTGTCCGGGGATCCATGATGACGAACTCGGGCCGCAGCTTGCTGACGCGCCGCCCCTTGAGGATGGGCACCAGCCCGCCCAGGTACTCCAGGTAGAGCGTGTAGCAGGGGCCGCCCACCTCCGGGTCGTCCTCCGTGCGCTTCATGGTGCAGTGCAGACGCTCGTTGCCAGCCGAGGGGTAGCTGACAAAGTCTCGCATATTGTTTGGGTCTGGAATTGGGGGCTAAAGGCAGGACACAGAAAGAAAGAGGGTGCATGGGCATCCCTGGACTTGAGCTGCCTTCCTTGCCTCCACCCTCCCCTCTGAAAGCCTGCAGGAGCAGCACAGGTGGGCAGACGAGGAAGGAGGGGAAGGTCACCTTGATGGTGGGGATGAACGCGGTGGAGAGGTAGGAGCAAAGGCGGGGGGGCAGGGTCAGCTTGCTGACGTCCTTGTCTTCTCGCAGGGCGCTGGCGATGGCCTGCTGGCACAGCAGCTGCAGGCTGGACACCCGGTGCTCCACGCGGACCACGTACAGGGCCGGTCCCGAGGCCATGAGCAGCCGAGAGTCCCGGTGGCCCCAGCAGATGGCAATGACGGGGCGCTGCAGGGGAGAAGGGAGACCGGCTTAGGCGTCACTCGGTGGTTGGCAAGGAAAGATCACGCACACTTGTCCCAAGCAGACAATGCTGGTTTCAAAACGCACAACAGAGGACATTAAAGGCTTGTGAAAATTCAGTATCTTCACTGAAATGTTAGGCCAGAGTACAAAGCGAGCACTGGAATGGTCTACAAAGTTCTTCTTCATGTATTATCTCATTTTATTTGGTGCCATGAAATCTAACTTAGCTCTGTAAACACTTGAATTGGCAGTCACAAGCAGTGTGGGTACAGGTCATGCCCTGTGCTGAAGCTCTGTCTCTCAGGACCCCAACTAACTAGGGAGGTTCCAGGGGTGAGGTGGTGAGGGACAGACTGGAGAGCCCAGCCCTCTGTCTTCACAGAAAGCATTTTAGAGTTGAGTCAACCCAGATTTGGGGTTGTGAGCCATGTGGCCTGGACTGTTGTGGCAGCCCCGGCTGGTGCCTCCTTTCTTGTCGGGGTTGAGGGACATGGAGGCATCAGGTGCTTCTGGGAACACCACACAGGTGCAACCACAGATATGAGATCACGGTCAGTCTCTGGCCCTGGGATGGGGGCAGAGAAAGCAAGGGGAAAAGGGAGAGGTGGGGGACCTCCCCGGTGGCGCAGCAGTTAAGCGCTGGGCTGCGAAGCTGCCCGCAGCCTCTGCAGCGCCAGTTCGATCCCCGGCCAGTCGGCGAGGGTACCACATGGTGCACAGACTTCTCCTGCCGTGCCCACTGCTCCCCTCAGCAGTATTTCGTCAGTCTGCCTGTTCTGTTCCCTACTCTGGCTCTGGTGAATTCTCTCACCCTCCCGCGCTTCTGACTATACCCAGCGCTTGTATAAATAAATAAATCTTTTAAAAAAATTTAAAAAATAAAGAGGCAACGCCACCCTGTCCCCTCAGAGTCCCAGAGTCAAGTAACAAGCAACACTGCTCTGCGGGCGCTTCCCCCCAATCCCCATTCCATCGGAGCCCGCCCACCTGGTACAGTGAGGGGCTGCAGGGACAGCTTGACATCACCCACCCCTCCCTCCTCACCCTGCTTTCAATAGGGGCCACCCTTACGTGACCACTGATACACATCTTGGGAGCATCATACACAAAGTTATCAGTGAGATAAGTGTGTACTTTCGTATCTTTGCACAAAGGAACTTAAACCCCTTTTACAGATTTTCAAACTGGATGAAAATCCTCGATAGAGTTACCTTCAATCATAACAAAAATCACCACCCCCTCTTTTCAGAACGCACCCTCCCCCACAGCACACCACCTCCCTGAGCTCGGACACTACCTAGTCCTCTTGCCTCCACCACTAGGCATGAATCCTGCACCTACCACCAGAGGAATATGGGCCTAAGGGTGCTGAGTGGCTTCTTGCTGCTGGTCAGTGGGGACAGCTATTCCTGCTCACCCCAACTTCACAGTTGCACCCCTCTTATACCAGAGCCGCTTAGGAACGCTGCAGTCCCAGGAAGTGCAGGGTCTGTCCATCACAAATAGTGAGGGCCCCCAGCCCACCCCTTTAATACGTCTGATCAAGGCTATTTCACTCAGAAACAAACTCATATGTCTGTCGAAAAGGCAAAGAGAAGCAGGACTCACACAGAGCAAACGGCTAACGACCACAACGACTCTGCACAGCAAGAAAGGATCCTCAGGTTGTGCAGGCCCACAAGTGGGGAGAAATTACCTGAGCATAAGACTGTGGGGTCCCCCAAGCCCCCTTGTACTCAGGATATTGCTTGGTGCCAAAAGTCGCTGCTGAGGAAGCTAAATGCAGAGTCAGGCAGGGAACTTTTCAACAGGACAAAAGACTTGGTCTGAGGATATCTGCTGAAAACAGCAGGCAGACATTATGGCCAGGTGAGCATAACCAGCCAGACTACCTTGACAGGAAGTTAAGTGTAAACAGGCAATAGAGGTAGGATGTTTCCATCAGCAGCAACAATGGACCCCCCACTTCCCAGGCAACAGTCCCTATTCAGTGCCCCCTAGCTTGTGCCAGACTATTATGCATCCGGACCCACATCCCCATCACTCACATTCCTCACACATTCCTCCACGGACTTGCCCACCTTGCCTGAATCTGACCCCCAAGTAAACATGGGATTTGCCATGGGGGAAGTGGTCACATCTCCAGATATTGTGACCTCTCTAGGTGTCTCTCTCACTACTTGTCCAGGGCCGCTCCCAAGATTGTGCCCCCACGAGGTGACACAGGATGGCAGCAGTGAGGGCTGAGCCTCTGGGCCAGAAGCAGTGCCAGGGCTTGCACGGTTGCAGGAGAGGGGAATTAGGCCTGGGAAGGGCTGCAAGCAGTCTGCCTGAAGAGGTGATGCCCGCAGGGGCTGAGGGCAACTGCCGCTGGAGCAGGACCCCCAGAGTGAGGCCCCCAGGACAAGAACACCAGCAGAGATGCGTATTACGGGGCGCAGCATTCCCTTACATGCCAAGTCAGTGAGCTGATGCCAGCAGTGGGGGGCAGCACACTCACCTACTTTGCGTAGCACGCGCCGTGAAAGATGATAAAGCAGCAAAATGAATACTGCTCACTTGTCATGTTAGTATTAGTCTCTAAGGCTGTCTTAAAAAAGTAAGGACGAATTTACAAACAGCGTGAGCTGCTCCTTATGTCTGAGGTTCTAGGGTATCACCATGTGGGGGCACGACCCCTCAGGAGCCCTGTAAGCCCTTCTAACCTACAGAGTCCTTTTTTGTGGGACTGAACTCACCGCATGGCGATTATGATGAGCAAAACTGCAGAAATACTTGAAAGCTACTAGAAGAGTCCACCTGAACGCTGTCACATGAGGGAAGTGTGGTCACATGGCCACATCCAAGTGTACCGAGTCAGACTGCGCAGCATCTACGTCAAAGCTACCCCAGCAGAACAGGAAAGAAGCTACACACACATGCATGTATAGGTGCACACCCCGCGACCCCGTCTTCCATGCCTCAGGCCCCACACTCCCTGCCAGCACTGCAGCTACCAGACCCTCACTGAGGTGCTCTGCTGTTTCTGACAGCATGGGAATCAGGCGAGGTCTGTGCACCTGCTGCAGGTACGTGTGCATATGCACCTGGGGGCCCTGACTTGCGTTCCACGCCGGCACCTCTGCCCTCCGTGGTCCAGGCTGCCTACCTGCCCAGCCACTGTCCTCCCAGGCTTTTCGCTCTAGCTTTGCTGCCGTGGCGGAGCAGAAATAAGCCACACGTTCAAGTCCAGCAGACCCAGGAACACTGGGGCACACAAACTAGTGCCTAGAGACCTGCGATTGGGTTTGAACAGCTGTGTTCTGCGAGGAAAAGACCCAGCTGCACATCTGCAGACCTAATCTCCTCCGCAAACCACACAGAAACACTCTTTAGAGAGAACTGCGAAGTTGACAGCATTCGATCTTACTTTGCGCAGGGAAGCTGGCATATTTTCCACATTGAAATCTGAGGTAAAGGGGCAAGATAACACACTTCGTCTCTGGAGCATGTGTTTAGGATCTAGGGCTCCCTTCCCTAGTCCGTGGCCATACGAGACACCTTCTCTCCTGCCCCTGCCTAGCACTCACCATGCACCCAGCAGTGACACCCTCATCTACGGAGCTGTCCTCAGTCAGTAGACACTGCTCAGTGCAGCCAGCAGCCACTGCACCCGGGCGTCGGGCACTGGCACGGGGTGAAACTGACTCCCACCCCCACAGAGCTTCCACTCTGAGGTGGAAGGGGAGGAGAAACGGCTGGAGATGTGTGAGGGCGAAGAGTGGAGGTGGGTGGGGTAGAGAAGGTGAACAGAGGCCTGATTGAGAGCAGGAGCTATTTATCTTTTAATTGAAACTGGAAGTTTCCTCACTATGGTACTATTTTTATATACCATAGTAAGTAGCATAAAGTCCTCAAAAAATTAAAGAGGAATAAACAGCAGGGTGTCCTTTCCATATTAAAGAGAATATGGAATCCTGTTGCAGCAGGATTAAAGTGGGCAGATAACAAATGAGTCAAAACTGGCTCTGCTGTCCAGCTCATGTCGGCCGAGGCCCTGGGCCAAGGACTGTCGAGCTGGCCCCCGTGAATGTCTCGGCACCCTTCCCTCCTTTCTGCAGAGCCCTAAGAAGGTGGAGTGTTGACTAGCACCCGGCTAAAGGGATACTTAATGTTTGAGCGAGTATGTACAAAGAGCAAGTCTTCTAGAATAGTCCCTGTAGGGTAAATGGAGTTACCAGGCTTTTTATGCCCTCCTGCACCTGGCTCCATGGCCAGCACCTGCGGTCTTGCATGCCTCCCATGATGGACACCTGGGCCTAAAGAGCAAGGTGTGTGCGAGTGAGCACACATGGACCTAGAAGGGGAGGGATGAGAGGGCGGCATCACTCAGACCACGAGATGACACGAGGCTGAGAGAGCGTGGAGATTTGCAGGGGCTGGGAGGTGGAAGGGGCAGCCTCGCAGGCCCCTGCCTGGACCCCCTGCCTACTGTGCCTGTGTACCAGTTCCCTCCTCCAACGTTAAAGGCCTGTAAAAATCCACCGAGGGCTCCAAGGTTCCTTTCCCCATCTGCCCGAATCCACAGTGAGCCTCCTGGCCTGGGATGGCTACACAAGCGTCCCTTTCAAACAGGCCAAACTGCTAGTATTCACTATCTTGCAGTGTCAGTGGGGCCCTGGGGAGCTGTGACTCTCAGGTCACAGGGACACGGTCCCCATCACAGCTGGAGTGACAGAAGCCAGCTCAGAATTTAGACACATCTGTTTTCCAAGAACACACCACTCCTGTGTTTTGTAAGCAGACATCCCAGAAAAGACTTCTCATTTGTTTACAGCCAACAGGTGGAAAGCGCAAGCCAATAGCGTCCCAGGAACAGGCAGAGCTCACCCTTGACCAGAGGTGTATATGTTTGGCTGAAGGATTCTCAGGAGCACAGACATCACTGCTCATAAACACCACCTTTTTAACATTTTTTATTGGGCCTCCCCTGGTGGCGCAGG